TCGTCACCGGCCTTCTAGCCACTGCCGCTCCATATCTCATCATTCCATTTGTCTTGTCTTGTCAATTACATACACCTGGTTCAATTTCCCCTCATTAGTACGTGTTTAAGTGTTCCCTCTGCCCCCTTGTCCTTGTGGGTGATTGTTCATTGTGAGGATTAGTAGCTCGGTTGAGCTCAGTATTTTGTATTGCCGAGGTATTTTCCCCGTGTGCATGTTTGTTCCAGTGCGCCTGTGGGTTGGGCCTCTCTATCTGTGAGGCGAGAGCAACATGCTCTCTTGTTTATTTATAAAGCACTTCTTTTAAAACTACCTTCATATATATCATCATTAATTTCCACTAGATATACTAATTTTAAAACCAGATCACAGATGTGGATTACATTAGAGACTCCTGTGGTCTCCACAGAGTTGGGTAGGACTGCCTTCAGTTCCTTTGCACCTTATTTATGGAACAAACTGCAGATCCAACTTAAGTTAGACACTCTGGTGTCCCTTGCCCATTTAAAAAATGTTATGGAGGATCAATATGATGTTGTCTGTGATTGTTTCTGTTGAAATGTGTTTTTGTTTTGTATGTTTGAAATGTTCTTGTCTTTATGTCTAAAACTGTACATGTCAACATGTTTACACAGGGCACAGCCGTAAAAGAGATCCAGGTCTCAGTCTGTTTTTCCCTGTTAAAATAAAGATTTAAAAAAAAAAAAGTACAGGGTACCAGAGGATATAGTGTCTGACCGGGGTCCCCAGTTCACATCCAAGGTCTGGAAGGCATTCATGGAACGTCTGGGGGTCTCGGTCAGCCTGACCTCTGGTTTCCACTCCGAGTCTAATGGGCATGTGGAAAGGGTAAATCAGGATGTGGGTAGGTTCCTGCGGTCCTACTGCCAGGACCGGCCGGGGGAGTGGTCGGTGTTCTTGCCATGGGTCGAATATGCCCAGAACTCTCTTCGTCACTCCTCCACTAACCTAACGCCATTCTAATGTGTTTTAGGTTACCAACCGGATCTGGCACCGTGGCACCAGAGCCAGACCGAGGCTCCTGCGGTGGATGACTTGTTTCAGCGCATGGAGGAGACGTGGGACACTGCCCTGTATTTTCCCTGTGTGCAGCCAATACACACAAAAAAGTAAGGAATGGGATTTAAGAATATATACATATATGGACAAGCAATGACAGAGCGGCATGGACTAAGATACAGAATAATATTATAGAATAGAATGCAGTATATACATATGATATGAGTAGTGCAAGAAATGTAAACATTATTAAAGTGACTAGTGTTCCATTTCTTAAAGTGGCCAGTGATTTCAATAGGCAGCAGCAGCCTCTAATGTGCTGTGATGGCTATTTAACAGTCTGATGGCCTTGAGATAGAAGCTGTTTTTCATTCTCTCAGTCCCAGCTTTGATGCACCTGTACTGAGCTCGCCTTCTGGATGATAGCGGGGTGAACAGGCAGTGGCTCGGGTGGTTGATGTCCTTCCTGTGACATCGGGTGCTGTATGTGTCTTGGAGGGCGGACCGCACCACCCTCTGGAGAGCCCTGCGGTTGTCGGCGGTGCAGTTGCCGTACCAGGCGGTGATACAGCCCGACAGGATGCTCTCAATTGTGCATCTGTAAAAGTTTGTGAGGGTTTTAGGTGATAAGCCACATTTCTTCAGCCTCCTGAGGTTGAAGAGGCTCTGTTGCACCTTCTTCACCACACTGTCTGCATGGGTGGACCATTTCAGATGTGTACGCCAAGGAACTTGAAGCTTTCCACCTTCTCCACTGCGGTCCCGTCGATGTGGATAGGGGGGTGCACCCTCTGCTGTTTCCTGAAATCCACGATCATCTCCTTTGTTTTGTTGATGTTGAGTGAGAGGTTATTTTCCTGGCACCACACTCCCAGAGCCCTCACCTCCTCCTGTAGGCGGTCTCGTCATTGTTGGTAATCAAGCCTACTACTGTTGTGTCGTCTGCAAACTTGATGATTGAGTTGGAGGCATGCTTGGCCACGCAGTCATGGGTGAACAGGGAGTACAGGAGGGGGCTGAGCACGCACCCTTGTGGGGCCCCATTGTTGAGGATCAGCGAAGTGGAGATGTTGTTTCCTACCTTCACCACCTGGGGGCGGCCCGTCAGGAAGTCCAGGACCCAGTTGCACAGGGCGGGGTTCAGACCCAGGGCCTCGAGCTTAATGATGAGCTTGGAGGGTACTATGGTGTTGAATGCTGAGCTATAGTCAATGAACAGCATTCTTACATAGGTATTCCTCTTGTCCAGATGGGATAGGGCAGTGTGCAGTGTGATGGCAATTGGATCGTCTGTGGATCTATTGGGGCGGTAAGCAAATTGCAGTGGGTCTAGGGTGACAGGTAAGGTAGAGGTGATATGATCCTTGACTAGTCTCACAAAGCACTTCATGATGACAGAGGTGAGTGCTACAGGGCGTCTGAGGTGCGGTAGGTCCCTCCGCCTCCTCTGGACATCGAGGGGGCCCCGGCGTACTCCGTCCGTTCCATCCTGTTGCGGGATTTCCGCCGTCGCCAACCGGCTCGCCCTGCTCCGTGTCCTCCTGGCTGTCCCCGAGGCCGGGGTTGGCGCCCTGCTGGAGCTGCGCGTCAACGAGGGGGGGGGGGTACTGTCACGACTTCCTCCGAAGCTGCCTACCCACCTTGTTCGGGCAGTCTTTGGCGTTCGTCGTCACCGGCCTTCTAGCCACTGCCGCTTCATATCTCATCATTCCATTTGTCTTGTCTTGTCAATTACACACACCTGGTTCAATTTCCCCTCATTAGTACGTGTTTAAGTGTTCCCTCTGCCCCCTTGTCCTTGTGGGTGATTGTTCATTGTGAGGATTAGTAGCTCGGTTGAGCTCAGTATTTTGTATTGCCTGGGTATTTTCCCCGTGTGCATGTTTGTTCCAGTGCGCCTGTTTTGCGCACTGGACTGGTTACGCTGGATTACGGAATAAACTCTGTATACTGTGATTTACCCTACTCCGCCTGACTCCTTCAAATCACGCATCACAATATTACCTCAATTACCTCGACTATCCTGTGCCTCCGCACATTGACTCTGTACCGGTACCCCCTGTATATAGCCTCGCTACTGTTATTTTACTGCTGCTCTTTAATTATTTGTTTAATTTTTTGTTTTTTGTTAGTTTTTTTGTTTTACTTAACACTTATTTTTTTTTAAATTGCATTGTTGGTTAAGGGCTTGTAAGTAAGCATTTCACTGTAAGGTCTACAGCTGTTGTATTCGGCGCATGTGACAAATACAATTTGATTTGATTTGATTTGTACACGTGACTATTAAACTCTCTAATCTCTAATGTCTAATCTAATCTCTAAACTGTGTTTTGACATTGGGCTATTTATCAAAATGTCTTGTCAACAGGAAGCAGCGACAATACATTTTCAATGTACATTTTAGGAATATAAGTGTAACTTCCCAAGTGGCGCAGTGGTCTAAGGCTGTGCCACTAGAGATCCTGGTTCGAATCCAGGCTCTGAAAAATTAAAAAAATAATGTATGCACTCACTAACTAACTGTAAGTCGCTCTTGTCTGCTAAATGACTAAAAATGTAATGTAAAAATGTAACTTTCAACATTAATTTACAATGGTATATTATTATTTATTCTGATGATAGGCTATACCAATACTAGAAATCACCAAAACAGGTTTTCCCTGCCTACGAGGAGCCCTTAAAATTGTTGCAAAACATGATTCAACATTCCCATCTAGTGGTATAAACGTGTCTTGTATTGCTAAGGCGGGGTAGTAGTGGTAGTAGTAGTAGTTTGTAACCACCACACGGTGAGAAAACGGCTAGAAAACTTGCCCATTTACCCACGGACCGTGCACATTCAGAGTAGACTTAACCCTCATTAAATTTATAAAAGCAGCTGAGTTAACATGTGATTTTGATTTAATCAAGAAACGAGACAGTAGCCTAAGACGTAATTATTACTTTAAGTAAATGGCTTACATTTAGAAGAATTCAGCAGGTAGGAAAAGGTGAGTGCCTGGTCAGCGAAAAGTAGCGTGCGCTATGTTACTGTTTCCCGAGACGGGGACTGACAGGTGCGCACGAGACAAACAGCAATTAAGCACATGGTGGAATACAAAAACCAAAAGATCATTGCAAATTGATTTATGCAATTTATTTCTTGGAAAGAAAATTGAAATGGGGGTGTAAAAGTCAAAAAATCTATCCATGTGGAAGTCCTTTCATGTCCATTCAGGTCTGCATATGCTGGTCAGTGTATGACCACTGTGGCATAGTCATGTCCTTGCTCAAACTTGACTGAGTGGGATGGAGGAGCACCAGCATGGGACACAGTGGCATAGCACAAATCATCTTCACCTTCCTGTTATTGCAACAAAGGGATGAGGACAAATCACTATTTGAAAGGAAACATCAAATCATCAAATCCATACAAAAAAGCACAATTCCAACTGTTTTTAATTTATAACATGCTTATATGTTGTGCGCCAGCCCACTGGACTGTTTATGGATTATGGTGGCAAAGTAGATGAAGAGGGTGAGGCCACTACATAAAAACCTGATTATGTAATGGTTTGGGCTGACCTCTATTGTCTCCTTTTCCTGTGGAGATTCTGCAGGATTTGTTGTATCACTTGCTGTATAAACATAATCACAGAAATGTGATGTTAAAATGGGACTGTGGTAAATATCTCTATAATAATAGGCCTACACAAGTACACTTCACTGTGGCATCATACATACTTGTTAGGGTAGGGTCTCCTTGCAATGTCTGGTCACTGGGCGATGTGAAAGACATGGTTAGGTGAGATAGGCATTCACATTTGAACTGTATGTTCTGTATGCTGTCATAATCATACTGTTCAACACACAATCAACACTATTCACCTTGTTATGACGAGGCATCCGTTCCCTATGACAGTAAAACAATGGAATACATGAGTGATTCTGTCTAATCGGTTTTGCTAATACGTAGATAAGGCTGTTAGATATCAGGTTCACATACTCTTTGCTTTCAGCGAGAGGAGACAGGTGATGCAGAATATGAATACTGCAAGTAGAATTATGAATCCTATCAGGGCCATACATCCGATGATGTACTTAGTCAGCATCTCTGTAACAGAGTAAAATGTATTTTTGACCAAATGGATGAATTACCTAAATCAGGAATCTGTGCATTACATTTCTCATGTAATCTTTCTTACTTGTGTTCCACACAACCACCGTGACATTTTTGCTGGGAGGTGAGTGGATGCCCTCCTCCTCTTCGTAATGACAGTGGACGGTGACCTTTGACCACAGCCCTCTGTGCTTCCACCCAAGCAGCTCTGACCCCCTTACTGGGAGGGAGCAGTGGTTGTGGCTGGCATTTGAGCGACCAAGCTCCTTGAATTCAGAATCCACATGGAACAAACACTGCTGACCTTCTACAAGGGCTGAGGACTCGCAGCTCAGCTCAACCACTTCAGTCAGGGTCACAAATTTCAGGCTTACTGAGATCTGGTGCTTCTTCTCCTTGGTAATCCAAGTGTTTGTCTGGTTCTCCTTGTCCCCTTGATAGTTGAGGAAAGAGAGAGATAGTTGAGGAAAGAGAGAGATAGTTGAGGAAAGAGAGAGATAGTTGAGGAAAGATAGGTATGATAACATCATAGTGGAGAAAAACGATGATTTGTGTCTATTCTAAAACTAATTCAAAATACAAGATTATTCCCTTCTTAAATTCTCAACATTTATTTCCCAGCCTTTTATAACCATGCAAATCACAAAAGTGCATCCCTAATGCTGAATGACAAAACAAGCAAGAGAAGGGGAAAAAGCTACATAAATAATATTCAAGAGAAACATACCTGCATCTGTTAATTGTAGGTCAAGAGATACTACAAGAAATGTAGTTAATTTTTATTCCAACCAAAAGTACAATTAGGGATATTGTTGTGAAAGTAAATTATTTTACATTTGATTATACAGTACAATAACATTATTATTAATAAAACATAACTCACACATAAGGCACCAGCAGCACATTAATTGGATCATGGTTAAGAGTTATTTGAAGGTCCCAAACCTGTCACCTATTATTATGTATAATGCAGAGAGAGAAGTGAAACAGGATATATGGAAATGAGAGATGCTTTCAGGGTCGACTATTTTCACATACTCTCTTATATATATATATATATATATATATATATATATATATATATATATATATATATATACACAAGAGCTGTTGGCTGTAGAGAAGGACTCAGGCGATGCCACAGTAGTAGTACAAGGGTGACATACTGTATTTTGTTTCTCTCCTCTCTCCTTTTATGGTGAAACAATAGCTCCCACCTATGACACTTTTGTGATGGTGCATAATGTTTATATACACTATCATACGTATAGCTGTCATAGGTTTGTAATGTGCTCCAATTGCAGGATTAGATAAGACTGATCTGGTTGGGCCTATTCTGTCCTAAGATCCGTAACAAACATGTTATGTCTGTCGGGAGCACAGGGGATATGAGAGTTCATGTTCATGCAAGATTTTGTTCTGGGTTTCCGAGATTAGGTTGGGCCTAACCAGGCCTAACTGGCAGGAACCACTTGTAGTTGCAAAAAATCGCTTTAAAATATCATTGAATTGTAACAATTATCAATTGGGTTTCATTTGCCTCTAGTTGAAGCTTTGCACATAAATAATGGAAACTGCATGGGTGACGAATGGGTTCCACACAGATCCTCCATGTTGGCTTGCAAAGGGTACTTTGTTTACATTTTCATTTACACACTCATCAAAAACTTGTATTGATTTCCTCTAGCAGTGAGTGAAGTGGTTTATTAAGAATGTTGCACAGTACATAGAAATGCAGTCAATAAGTAATCAATATTTTTTTTTACTATATATTTTCATGCCTGTGGTTCTATCTCATCTTACACACACAACTTATAAATGACATATTGACTTATAAATCAAGAAAGCTGTTCATTTACACATTCATCAAGTGTACCTGTTCAAATGAACCATATCTTAAAACCTCTGCACATCTATTTATAGCCCAGTATGAGAATGCAACTGGTCTGAGAGGAACAGATGTTGACAGACTACAGGAAGAGGTGGGGACCACATAGTAGCAGATATGTAAATCAGGAAGCAGAGAGAGGAAATGTGGAGGTAGTGTATCAACAGATGGAAGTAAAAGCACATACTGTAAGTAAACCATGATAATAACAAAACATCTCTTTAAAACTAATATACACCAGACATGGTTAAAGAGAGAGATGTAGAGAGCGAGAGATCAGAAAGAGATGTAGTGATGTAACAAGCAAAGTTTGAAATGTATTCTACTCTCTTGTGGTTTTGAGTCTCTAGTGACTCTTGTCAAAGAGTGAAATAGATTGGTGACTACTGATTGGTAATTCAGTTTAGGAAAATATTCATTTTATGTTTCAGACAAAGGTTATTTTTCATTTATTTCATTTACCCTCAAATGCAAATAGTTGAAACTGCTTGTTTTTAGAAAGGAGTAGAGATCTTTAGTCTTTGTTGTTGTGGCAGGTTTTTTTTTTGTACTACGAGTAAATTATGATCCAATTTGAAGAAAAAAAGACAGGATTGTATTGTAAACTATGGCTAATTTTTTTATCCAGTAAATGTTTCTTCTTCTATGATTTTGCTAAGAGGGCGTACTCTCCAGCAATTTCAAACTTGATCTTGGTGCGCCCAGGTCCAGCTTGGTTACCGGTAGATGTCACTGTTGCATATTGAAGACTAGCTCGGTCACTGGTAGAAGTCACTGTAGCGTATTGCAGACTAGTGTCCTCTTCCTGTAAGAGAGAACTAAAGTCACTTTGAGCTGTGTGCACAGTTGCGTTGTCATTGGTGCAATTGACAATATTGCTTGATATCATGGAAGTAAAATGCATATTAGGCTACTTCACACTGCACTGGTTCAATCCAACTCACCTCATCCCTAGACGGGTTTGTGATGACAGAATCTGTTTAAAATGAGAGAATGAGGGAAAATAAAACACTGCACAAAAGAAGACAAAGGCAGTGGTGGTTTACTCTCATACTCACAGACACAAGGTGGGGTTTGGTCTTGCTGCTCAGGTGGGCTTCTGTCGAGACAATGCAGAACAGTCAGACAGATATAGCTGTGCATGAATAAAGAAAAAATAATGTGAATCTAAAATGAATAAACCAGTCTTACCCAGTATTTACAGGACTGCCTTGAACCCCTCCAAAAGATACATAGAGATAATTTAGCAATTTTGAAAAAAACTCAAAGTAGACTTTGGAACAAAATATTAATAGGATATGAGTGGAACTATCTGAAAGCACACACCACACTTGTGTTGGAGAACACACAGCACAGACCCAGCCAGCAGAACCATGAAAAGGGAACCAGCACCCAGACTGATGTTGATGAGAACTGGACCTGAAAGAAGCGGTTAGTGAATGTGGCTCCTGATGAAACTTACAGTGAGTGATCTGTACAGTATAACCTGACCTTACAATGGCTAGAATGTTAATGCAAATAAGCCTTACTAATAGTGACTATCAAGATACTTAAGAGTTTAGACATTTTAGAAACATATCAATACCTGTACATTTAGCAGCCAAGTCATTCACTAAACTTGCAATTTGAAGTTCTTAGGACTACCCACAGTAAATCTAAAACCATACTCACTTCTACCTTGGGTTGTTACATTGCTGCTTACATTCACCTGACCAGGTATGATTAAACTGAACGCTGATGGGGAACTAGTAGCTCCTGGAGGATTTACAACTGAAATAAATAAAACATTAATATGTGTACAATAATAATATATTAGTCTTGCAATACAGCAATAGACAGACAGAGGATTGACACATTTGAAATCACAGAAATTGATGGGATCTAAAGTCTTCTTCACCATCTATGGTGATACCGAGGGGTTCACTACGCTGTGATGTCACAGTGTCTTCACCCTCTACCACCAGCTCCACAGCACAGGTGATGAAGATCTCTCCAGCACTGCTCCTCTTCCTCTGCAGTTCCTCTTCTGCCACTCTCCCCACACAGACATTGTCTTTGTAGGGTAGTTTTTTAAAGTGTAAGTCACCATTGTTCTGATAAAAGTAGCATGAGGTGCCAGCCTTGTCCTCACATCGAAGATTGAGGTAATTCCCGATCTTCTCCACATGAACACTGGGTTTTCCAATTGGATCTGTTTGTAAATTGGGAAAGTAATTTATGAAGTCAATAAACAAGTGGGAAGAGTACTCTGGTTAACATGTGCTTTGGAGTACCGTAAAACTGTCACTTACCACTCACATGAAGTCTTCGAACAATACTAGGTTTTGAGGTATTGATCATTTTCCCTTCTCTGTTCTGTAGAATTATACAGCTGAGATCTACTTCAGTCTTGTTCCACTTTTTGAACTCATTCCAGAGCAACTTGAACTGGCAAGCACCCTGCTTGTAATCCAGTTTTCTTATAGGGTTGGGGTCGTGATCTCTGTAGAAATGGCACTCTGTGCCTTCTGGTGACTCACAGCGTAATGTAGCAGGTGTAGCTACATTGATGTACCCAGGGAATAATACAATAGTGGGAGTGGGAACCAAACCTGTTTAGAGGAATAGAGAGAATATAAGAAATTGTAAGTGATAAGAATCTTGATTCAGAAGATATTTGTATGTGGAGTATCACTTCCTTGTCTCTCTATTTGCAACTAAAAATACATTGTTTTTAATAAATATATGGCACTTTAAGCATTGTGCTACTCTATATTAGGGGTAAAACAGTAGTGTACAAATCTGTCATCCCAAAAATATTTTTGCACCTGAAATAAATCAATAGCTGTTGAGCTGGATAAATAATGAAGTGACGTTTGGAAATATGTACCTGCACAACTTTCTTTTACAGCAACACCAGCTTGAACACCAGGTAAAAACAACTTAGTGAGACATTTTACAAGCCTTATTATAAGACAAAATAAAGGCTCATACATACTTAGAACAAGTTAAAAAGCATACTTTAAGTGACACATTACCAATACTTTAAATCAGTGTAAAGAGATATTGATCCAAAGACCAAAATAGTTGAATACTCACAAATGAGAAGAAGATAAGACAAAGACATTTTTCCACTTTCTTCCGTCAATGAAGTGAACTCCTCACATAGATTGTCATGTGACAAAACTGATGTGTGTTTAGGTAGGACACAGAAAAACCTACAGAGGAGGATATGGAGCCTCACAAGTGATGTTGTGACAGATCACTAGTTACGCTGAGGAAAATGACCTTATTTTCATTGACCACTAAGGGGCTGTTCATGTGGTCCACCTTATATTGAACTAACTGAAAATATAGGTAACTATAGCACAACTATTTTAAATATGACAACTCTTGTGATTAACTGATCAAATATACTTGTTGACTTTTCAAAGAGTTACTGTACACTATACACACAAATAAACTAAATCAAAACTAAATATGCAGTAGCTTAACAGGAACATCACCCTAACAACAAACACATAGACATGACCAAATTAGTTCAGTTACTGATCTATTGGGTTTATTTGTAGTTGGACAATTTGATGGATAGTTTCTTGTTTGTGCTTTTTCACCCAACGACTTTTATAGCCTTGTAATGGAGGTGACTAATGCTTCTCCAAATGAGGAAATAATAATAATAATAATATGCCATTTAGCAGACGCTTTTATCCAAAGCGACTTACAGTCATGCGTGCATACATTTTTTGTGTATGGGTGGTCCCGGGGATCGAACCCACTACCTTGGCGTTACAAGCGCCGTGCTCTACCTTGATCCATGTCTGTTTAGTTTACATAATGCATATTTCCAGTCAGAGTAACCAGTCTGTGCCAACTAAGTCATGGCTTGGATTGCATCCATAGATCACATTACGTTTGTGGATTTTTGGCTAACTTCGTTTTTTGGAAGCAAATCCAAGCATTGCAGAAATGGAATAAAGGAATCAAAATATATTTTAGCTGTTTTTTATTTCATGACCACATAATGAATTGTTTCACATTTTTTGGTAAACCACAGGTGGAAAGGTTATGGATTGTTCCTCAAATAATTCAGATTTTGGTGATAGTATTGGATAACATTGACATCAACTCCTTGTAGAATGAACCAGTTTCTTTTTAAAGGTTGGACATTTTTTAAATGTGAATCTTGCAATATATCTAGAAATTATACAATTAGTATGTTCATTCTTTAAATTGTAGCATGATAGATCTTATTCTCGTCCTTGTGGGTTTGAGGGCTGACAGAGTGTTAGGGGACCAGTTGCAGGACAATGGCTCGTTGTAGCGCACCTCAGCTTAGCTCATGATCACAGTTCCATTACTATGTCTCTCCACACCTCTTCACGTTCTCTGACAAGTGATTTCTATTGATAGATATAGACATGAGCTTCATACAGTATGAAGAGATGTACGGAAAGCTGTTTGCGGTGTTGTTTGCAGGGTTTATGTTGGTGCCTTCTCCTCATCTCTAGATATAGAGGTGTACCTGTACGATCAGTACCCTCACTGTGGTCACATCTACGTGACAAACAGACTCGACAATCAGCTAAAGCTCAGGTACAATAGTGAACATCATGAGACATTGGACCGTTGAAGACCTTTGAATCTCAACTGCTGTGTAATCTAAACACAATGCTGTCTCCTCTTAGAGTGGCTCCTCAACTTCCAGAGAACAGAAACATCATTTCCAACAAGATTTACAATATACTGTACAAGCTTTATTTCCACTGGAAAACACAACATCCAAAAGTAGAAAACAATGAAATCCTAATACAATTTCTGTATTTGAGACATATAAACTCATTACATATGAAACACTTTGCATGATATAAAAATACATTAACAAGGTGAATGGAAAAAGGCATATCCAACTTGAACCTGCACAGCAATGTCACATGACATGTCATTATAACGTAGTGCAGACTTGAGTTCTATTCCTGTAAGAGAGAGAACATACCACACAATGCACAATAAGCAATGGGGAGTAAAGAGCATTGTTCTACACACACATATTGCAGCTTCGATAGGTTTTGATCAAGACATGACAATTCACCAGTATATACAAACAGATGATATAAAAACATGCATGAGTAAAAATGTATGAATAAATAGACAACTCTTACCTCCGTTTGACATTGCCTTGTGGATCACCTTCAGAGATAAAAGTATGATGAGAACAAATCATACAGGCTGGTTGTATAGCTAATAAAATACATGACAATAGCCTTCAGAACAACATGCAGATGTATGATCTTAATTTGGGCCAGTTTACTACAGCAGTAAAATAATCCTGCAGCAACAGGAAATGTGAATTATTATGTGGATTATAATTAATGGATATTTTTATTGGGGTTGATACATTGTTTTTAGGGCAAATCAAGTCTGAAATTGCAAAGTGGAAATTACAAACTTTAGAAGCATTTTTAAAGCTCAAATGCACTGAAGTTTGAATTTTCTGCTGGGCAGGAAAATTCTCAGCAACAAAAGAGTAATCAAATTAAGATCCTACATCCGTTACAATTTGTGTATGAGTATGAGAAGGCACGCACCACATCTATACCAGAGAAGACACAGAACAAATTCCAACAGCAGGATGAGAACATAGACAACGGCACGAAGACTGGTATATTGGTAGAAGGGGATCTCTGAGCAGGATTCTGGAAGGGAAAGGGACATCAGTATCAAAAACAGTATCTGAGTCGGCACTTTCTGATGTATTTCAACAAACTGAGCTCACAATAAACATATTTATTTAACACACCTTCTCCTTGGGTAGTTATACTACTGACTGCCCTCTCCTCCCCAAGTGGGATGGAACTGAACACTGGGAAGGAACTGGTGGCTCCAGGAAGATTTACAACTGAAATAAATAAAACATTGATATGTGTACAATAATAATATATTAGTCTTGCAATACAGCAATAGACAGACAGAGGATTGACACATTTGAAATCACAGAAATTGATGGGATCTAAAGTCTTCTTCACCATTTATGGTGATACCGAGGGGTTCACTACGCTGTGATGTCACAGTGTCTTCACCCTCTACCACCAGCTCCACAGCACAGGTGATGAAGATCTCTCCAGCACTGCTCCTCTTCCTCTGCAGTTCCTCTTCTGCCACTCTCCCCACACAGACATAATCTTTGTAGGGTAGTTTTTTAAAGTGTAAGTCACCATTGTTCTGATAAAAGTAGCATGAGGTGCCAGCCTTGGCCTCACATCGAAGATTGAGGTAATTCCCGATTTTCTCCACATGAACACTGGGTTTGCCAATCGGATCTGTTTGTAAATTGTGAAAGTAATTTATGAAGTCAATAAACAAGTGGGAAGAGTACTCTGGTTAATATGTGCTTTGGAGTACCGTAAAACTGTCACTTACCACTCACATGAAGTCTTCGAACAACACTAGGTTTTGAGGTTTTGATCATTTTCCCTTCTCTGTTCTGTAGAATTATACAGCTGAGATCTATTTCAGTCTTGTTCCACTTTTTGAACTCATTCCAGAGCAACTTGAACTGGCAAGCACCCTTCTTGTAATCCAGTTTTCTTATAGGGTTGGGGTCGTGATCTCTATAGAAATGGCACTCTGTGCCTTCTGGTGACTCACAGCGTAATGTAGCAGGTGTAGCTACATTGATGTTCCCAGGGAATAAAACAATAGTGGGAGTGGGAACCAAACCTGTTTAGAGAAATAGAGAGAATATAAGAAATTGTAAGTGATAAGAATCTTGATTCAGAAGATATTTGTATGTGGAGTATCACTTCCTTGTCTCTCTATTTGCAACTAAAAATACATTGTTTTTAATAAATATATGGCACTTTAAGCATTGTGCTACTCTATATTAGGGGTAAAACAGTAGTGTCCAAATCTGTCATCCCCAAAATATTTTTGCACCTGAAATAAATCAATAGCTGTTGAGCTGGATAATTAATGAAGTGACGTTTGGAAATATGTACCTGCACAACCTTCTTTTACCGCAACACCAGCAACATCTTTGAACAAGGTAAAAACAACTTAGTGAGACATTTTACAAGCCTTATTATAAGACATAATAAAGGCTCATACATACTTAGAACAAGTTAAAAAGCATACTTTAAGTGACACATTACCAATACTTTAAATCAGTGTAAAGAGATATTGATCCAAAGACCAAAATAGTTGAATACTCACAAATGAGAAGAAGATAAGACAAAGACATATTTTCCACTTTCTTCCGTCAATGAAGTGAACTCCTCACATAGATTGGCATGTGACAAAACTGATGTGTGTTTAGGTAGGACACAGAAAAACCTACAGAGGAGGATATGGAGCCTCACAAGTGATGTTGTGACAGATCACTAGTTACGCTGAGGAAAATGACCTTATTTTCATTGACCACTAAGGTGCTGTTCATGTGGTCCACCTTATATTGAACTAACTGAAAATATAGGTAACTACAGCACAACTATTTTAAATATGACAACTCTTGTGATTAACTGATCAAATATACTTGTTGACTTTTCAAATAGTTACTGTACACTATACACACAAATAAACAAAATCAAAACTAAATATGCAGTAGCTTAACAGGAACATCACCCTAACAACAAACACATAGACATGACCAAATTAGTTCAGTTACTGATCTATTGGGTTTATTTGTAGTTGGACAATTTGATGTATAGTTTCTTTTTTGTGCTTTTTCACCCAACAACTTTTATAGCCTTGTAATGGAGGTGACTAATGCTTCTCCAAATGAGGAAATGGCAGATACCTTGATCCATGTCTGTTTAGTTTACATAATGCATATTTCCAGTCAGAGTAACCAGTCTGTGCCAACTAAGTCATGGCTTGGATTGCATCCATAGATCACATTACGTTTGTGGATTTTTGTCTAACTTCGTTTTTTGGAAGCAAATCCAAGCATTGCAGAAATGGAATAAAGGAATTAAAATGTATTTTAGCTGTTTTTTATTTCATGACCACCAATGAATTGTTTCACATTTTTTGGAAAACCACAGGTGGAAAGGTTATGGATTGTTCCTCAAATAATTAAGATTTTGGTGATAGTATTGGATAACATTGACATCAACTCCTTGTAGAATGAACCAGTATATTTTTAAAGGTTGGACATTTTTAAAATGTGAATCTTGCAATATATCTAGAAATTATACAATTAGTATGTTCATTCTTTAAATTGTAGCATGATAGATCTTATTCTCGTCCTTGTGGGTTTGAGGGCTGACAGAGTGTTAGGGGACCAGTTGCAGGACAATGGCTCGTTGTAGCGCACCTCAGCTTAGCTCATGATCACAGTTCCATTACTGTGTCTTTCCACATCTCTTCACGTTCTCTGACAAGTGATTTCTATTGATAGATATAGACATGAGCTTCATACAGTATGAAGAGATGTACGGACAGCTGTTTGCGGTGTTGTTTGCAGGGTTGATGTTGGTGCCTTCTCCTCATCTCTAGATATAGAGGTGTACCTGTACGATCAGTACCCTCACTGTGGTCACATCTATGTGACAAACAGACTCGACAATCAGCTAAAGCTCAGGTACAATAGTGAACATCATGAGACATTGGACCGTTGAAGACCGTTGAATCTCAACTGCTGTGTAATCTAAACACAGTGCTGTCTCCTCTTAGAGTGGCTCCTCAACATCCAGAGAACAGAAACATCATTTCCAACAAGATTTACAATATACTGTACAAGCTTTATTTCCACTGGAAAACACAACATCCAAAAGCAGAAAACAATGAAATACAATTTCTGTATTTGAGACATATAAACTCATTACACATGAAACACTTTGCATGATATAAAAATACATTAACAAGGTGAATGAAAAAGGCATATCCAACTTGAACCTGCACAGCAATGTCACATGACATGTTATTATTACGTAGCGCAGACTTGAGTTCTATTCCTGTAAGAGAGAGAACATACCACACAATGCACAATAAGCAATGGGGAGTAAAGAGCATTGTTCTACACACACATATTGCAGCTTCGATGGGTTTTGGTCAAGACATGACAATTCACCAGTATATACAAACAGATGATATAAAAACTGGTTGTATAGCTAATAAAAGACATGACAATAGCCTTCAGAACAACATGCAGATGTATGATCTTAATTTGAGCCGGTTTGCTACAGCAGTAAAATAATCCTGCAGCAACAGGAAATGTGAATTATTATGTGGATTATAATTAATGGATATTTTTGTTGGGGTTGATACATTGTTTTTAGGGCAAATCAAGTCTGACATTTAAAATGCACTGCAAGTTTGAATTTTCTGCTGGGCAGGAAAATTCTCAGCAACAAAAGAATAATCAAATTAAGATCCTACATCTGTTACAATTAGTGTATGAGTATGAGAAGGCACGCACCACATCTATACCAGAGAAGACACAGAACAAATTCCAACAGCAGGATGAGAACATAGACAACGGCACGAAGACTGGTATATTGGTAGAAGGGGATCTCTGAGCAGGATTCTGGAAGGGAAAGGGACATCAGTATCAAAAACAGTATCTGAGTAGGCACTTTCTGATGTATTTCAACAAACTGAGCTCACAATAAACATATTTATTTAAAACACCTTCTCCTTGGGTAGTTATACTACTGACTGCCCTCTCCTCCCCAAGTGGGATGGAACTGAACACTGGGAAGGAACTGGTGGCTCCAGGAAGATTTACAAGTGAAATAAATGAAAAAATGATTTACACAGTAAGTACAATAATAATATACAGTATTAGTGTTGCAATACAGTAATAGACAGACTGAGGATTGTCATGATAATATTTTCACAGTAAATCTAAAACCAAACCAATGTTATTTACCTTTTCCTTGGGCTGTTACATTACTGCTTGCCTTCTCCTTACCAGGTATGATTAAACTGAACGCTGATGGGGAACTAGTAGCTCCTGGAGGATTTACAACTGAAATAAATAAAACATTGATATGTGTACAATAGTACTATATTAGTCTTGCAATACAGCAATAGACAGACAGAGGATTGACACATTTGAATTTACAGAAATTGATGGGATCTAAAGTCTTCTTCACCATCTATGGTGATACCGAGGGGTTCACTACGCTGTGATGTCACAGTGTCTTCATCCTCTACCACCAGCTCCACAGCACAGGTGATGAAGATCTCTCCAGCACTGCTCCTCTTCCTCTGCAGTTCCTCTTCTGCCACTCTCCCCACACAGACTTTGTCTTTGTAGGGTAGTTTTTTAAAGTGTAAGTCACCATTGTTCTGATAAAAGTAGCATGAGGTGCCAGCCTTGGCCTCACATCGAAGATTGAGGTAATTCCCGATTTTCTTCACATGAACACTGGGTTTGCCAATCGGATCTGTTTGTAAATTGTGAAAGTAATTTATGAAGTCAATAAACAAGTGGGAAGAGTACTCTGGTTAACATGTGCTTTAGAGTACCGTAAAACTGTCACTTACCACTCACATGAAGTCTTCGAACAATACTAGGATTTGAGGTTTTGTTCGTTTTCCCTTCTCTGCTCTGTAGAATTATACAGCTGAGATCTATTTCAGTCTTGTTCCACTTTTTGAACTCATTCCAGAGCAACTTGAACTGGCAAGCACCCTGCTTGTAATCCACTGTTCTTATAGGGTTGGGGTCGTGATCTCTGTAGAAATGGCACTCTGTGCCTTCTGGTGACTCACAGCGTACTGTAGCAAAGACACTGATTATAATTAAATTTAATGGCTGACATTGAGCTGGACAATCATAAGGAGTGACATTCTGTAATTCATATATACATACCTACATAACCTTCTTTTACCGCAACACTAGCCACATCTGTAAAACCAAATAAGGTGTTTCAGTGTAACATATGGAATATGCTACTTAATATCTGTGTAAATAGATCATTGATAAAAAATAAAAGTAATAATTGAAAACTCACAAATGAATATAAGATAATATTTTCCACTTTCTTCTGACAATAGAAAGGTGAACACATAGATTGTAATGTGAAAAACAATATGTGTGCTTAGAACATAGAGCAACCTAGAAAGCAGGATATGGAGACTCACAAGTGATGTTGAAGAAATGTGACGTTGAAGAAATGTACCTTATTTCACTTACCACTAAAGGATTGTCCCTGGAGTGCACCTTAATTAAACTTACTGAATATATAGGTAACTAGAGCACAAATATTTCAAATGTGAGATCGCTTGTGATTAAGATTTCATTGCTTGCCATTAAAGTTGACTTTTCAAACAAGACAGTAACTGTGTACATCTTGCATATACAGTACACATACACAAAAGTTACCTAAATATACATTTTCATCATTTAGCAGACACTCTTATCCAAAGTGACTGCATATATTTTAATTCATACTGGTCCCCCGTGGGAATCAAACCCACAATCCTGCCGTTGCAAGTGTCATGCTCTACCAACTGAGCCAAATAACAGAAACATGATCAAAATGAGTTCAGTTACTGATTTATTGGGTTTTATTAGTAGTCGGCCATTATAGATATTTTCTGTTTAGGCACCCCAACTTCTCTCCAGCCATGTTACTCAGGTGACTAATGTTTCTCCAAATGAGGAAATGACAGATACCTTGATCCATGTCTGCGTAGTTTATATAATATATATTTTCAGTCAGAGTAACCAGTATGTGTCAGGTAATGGCTTGGATTGCGTGCATAAAACACATTACTATTGTGGAGTTTTGGCTAACCAAGTATTGCAGATTTGTAGAGAAATGGAAAACAGGAATCAAAAGATAATTCAGTTGTTTTTCATTTCATGACCACCAATGAATTGTACAAAAAGAAAAAAGAAAAAAAGAAATGCTATTGGAAAGGTTAAAAGTTGACTGTGCTGCCATCTTGTTAGAAGGTAACAGATTATTTTATTATAGTGATTAAGAGTGACTTTCATTGTGTTCCATGGTGTTTAGCGCCCCCTAGTGGAGCTTTCTGGTACTTAGAATAATGTACAAAAACCGGAAGTAAAGTAGTCATTCTGCACGCAGACAAGCAGCTAGAAACAACGCTACTGTACAGTTCTTTCAGTGCAACTATTTCTTGTTACGCTTCAGCCTCGGAAAATATTTGTTTGTAAGTTCAATTCAAGCATATTGCAAGTGATGATAATATTGTTATTGACAGAATTGCTTAATTATCAATGTTAGTTGGTTACATTTACTCACGCAAATTGCATTGACTTTCATGGATGCCGTTAGCTGTATTAGTTTGCTCGTGCGTCATGTAAAAGAAGTGTAAAACATACTATAGTTTGTTACTGTTTCTAGTGTAATATGCTTTGTTATTGTACAGAGGTGTTTGTACATTATTAGAGTAATGAAAGGAGTTGGCTAGTTGTTACTCATAGAGTAATTATCTATTTGGTTTGTTGTCATGCCAGATACATGGTAACTTGGCACTTGCTTTGTATTTATGCAACTTCAACTTGAAATGTATAATGTACAGCTACAGTATGTCAATGTGAATTGAATACTAAAGTATATTATTTTCTGTATTTGCAGTTTCACAACATAAACGTTTTCAATACATTCGTTCAAGAAAAGTCACGCCTTGGAAGTTTTATTGAAGACTCAGTTGTTAGCTATCTGTCTAGTTTTGCATGGGAACGCAATTCCAGGGCAGAATATTGACTGTTCCTCAAATAACAGTTATGTATTGGTTAACATTGACAGCAGCTCCTTGCAGGTTGCACCAGTTTCTTTTTAATGTTTGGAAATGTTAGAATTTTGCAATATATCCAGCACTTACCATTAGTATGTTATTTATGTAAATTGTGGGTTTGAGGGCTAAGGACAGTGTTAGGGGACCAGTTGAGGCACAATGGCTCATTGTAGCGCATCTCAGCTTAGATCATGACCACTACTGTCTCTTTCCACACCTCTGCACCTTTGCATGTTCTCTGACAAGTCGTTTATATTGATAGATATAGACATGAGTTTCATATGAATAGATGTATTGAGAGCCCTTTGTGGTGTTGTTTTTTCAGGGGTGATGTTGGTGTAGACGTGGGTCACCCATTCCTACTCTGCCTTATCCTCATCTCTAGAAATAGAGGTGTATCTGTATGAGCAGTACTCCCACTGTGGTCACGTCTACATGACAAACAGACTTGACAGAAACACCCAGTTAAAGCTCAGGTACAACAGTGAACATCATGAGACAGACCGTTGAAACACAACTGCTGTGTAATCTAAACAGAATGCTGTCTCCTCTTAGAGTGGCTCCTCAACTTCCAGAGAACAGAAACATCATTTCCAACAATGATTTACAATATACTATACAAGCTTTATTTACACAGGAAAACACAACATCCAAGACCAGAAAAAAAATGAAATGCTAATAGAATTGCTATATTTTACATATACAAACACATTACACATTAAACACTTTGCATAATATAAAAATACATTCACAATGTGGATGGAAATTGCAACTTGTTTGATTTAATAACTTGTACTCCTATTGACTTCTGGTTTATAAAAACAATGACACTTCATACTCTCGAGCCATATCCAACTTGAACTCCCCAGCAAGGTCACTTGAGTTATTTTCCTGTAAGAGAGAGAAAACATATTACAATGCACCATAAGCAGTGAACAGTTGCACTATAAAACAGTATAACCATAGTGGATAGTAAAGAACATAGTTATACTCAACACACACAGTTTGTAGCTCATATGAGTTTTGCCAGTCAAGAGCAGTTTCCAGTACATTCAAACAGATTATATGAAAACATGCAGATAAATAAATAGATCACTCTTACCTCCTACTGATATTGCCTTGTTGATCACCTTCAGAAAGAAAAGTATGATGAGAGCGAAACAAACAGGCCCTGATTGTATAGCTGACAACAGCCTTTGGAACAACATACACATTTTGAGTATTTTTTAAGCAAAAGGCACTTACCACGTCTATACCAGAGAAAACACAGGAGAGATTCCACCAGAAGGATGAGAACATAGATACTGGCACGGTAACTGATGTAGAGGGGGATCATTGAGGAAGAGTCTGGAAGGGAAAAGGACATCATGTTCATTTCACATCAATTTTCATAATGTCCTGCAATTGTGAGAATCTATGTCTAAACCACCTAAATGTATATACATTCTTCTTGGGCAGTTAGGCTGCTGACTTCTCCTCTCCAGGTGGGATGGAACTGAAGTCTAGTATGGAAACTGTGGCTCCGGTAGGATTTACAGCTGGAAATATGATTCAAATATGTACAATTATTCATCAGCCATGCACTGCAGCTGCAGCAATAGATAGATTTCACAGAAATGGATGGAGTCGTCACCATCTACCGTGATACTGAGGGGTTCACTGTGCTGTGATGTCACAGAATTCCCCTTTATCACCATCTCCACAGCACGTGATGAAGATCTCTCCAGGGCTGCTTCTCTTCCTCATCGTCAGTAGCTCCCCTTGGGCCACTCTCCCCACACAAACATTGTCTTTGTAGGGTTGCTTTTTGAAGTGTAAGTCACCATTGTTCAGGTAAAAGTAACTTGAGGTGCCATGCTTAGCCTCACACCGAAGATTGAGGTAATTCCCTCTCTGCTCCACATCAACACTGGGTTTCCCAATTGGATCTGTTTGAACATTTTAAGATAATAGATACAGTATGAGTGAACCCAGTGTGTTCTGGGTAACAATAACTGAACAAGTTCCCTAGGCCCTAATTTAGACCCTAGGGTAAAATTGTCACTCACCACTCACATGAAGTCTTCGAGTGTCACAACATTTTGAAAATATTGTTTTCCCTTCTCTCTTCTGTAGAATAGCACAGCTGAGATCTACTTCACTCTTGTTTCAGGTTTTGAACTCGTCCCAGAACAATGTGAATTGGCAAACTCTGTTGTAGTTCACATTTCTTATTGGGGTTGGATCCTGGTCTCTGTAAAAATAACAACCTGTACCTTCTGTTGACTCACAGCGTACTTTGACAGATCTAGCTACATTGATGTACCCAGGGGACAATACAATGCTTGAAGTGGGGACAGAATCTGTTTGGATTTAAAGATAGAAATAGTGAGAATTCAAATTGTGAAAGCTGTCAATCAAAGACTGAAATCTATGTATATTTCTGAAACTGTTGTGGCTAAATAATGTACATTTAGAGAAGGAGTTGTAGAATCGGTATCACCAAAGTGCTGTAGTGACAAATCGTGTATGAAAGACAATATCCTATCTCTAATATTATTCCACAACTAATGTTGTTTGACATGTAATACATACATACCTGCATAACATTTTCAAACTGCAACACCGGCCACAACTTTAACAACGATAACAGGAAGACATTTTAAACAAGGCATTTCAGTTAACATGTTAACATAAGATACACACTATACCCTCTAAATATAAATTGATTGAAATAAGGGACAATTGAATACTCACAAATAATTTTCCACATTCTGCCGTCAACGAATACGATTCTGAGGTGAGAGCTGATCTGTGCTTAGGATACAGGACAGCCCAAAGAGGATATGGAGACTCTGGGCAGATCTGAAGTCATGTTGAATTAGAGCTGGGCGATTTGGACAACAATCCTTATCACCATAAATGTACTGAATTATCACAATAACGGTAAATTGAACGATACGTTTAGAACATAATGTACACCACAGTAATTGTTTTATATTACCCTCAAAACTACTACTACTTTGAATGTTTTCGCTATCAATTGTCCTATTAACAATTAACCTTATTTCATTTTAAACTTCACATTTCTCTATGTTGAATATTATTACTTTTTTCATTGTCCACTAAATTGCTGCCCATGTAATGAACCCTCAATACTGCTTACTGAAACTATAGATGAACAGTAAAGTGATGAGTAAAGAAAGCATTTTAACTAGTCAAAGGTCATTTATTGCATCCAAACTATTGTTTAGACACATTATTCAGGTGGCTAATGCATCTCCAATAGAGAGAATTTAATAATCCATGGTAGGTGACCAAGGATATTTCTAGGCTACCTTTACCGTTGTGGATTCATTTAACAGTTGAACAAATTATAAGTTACCAAGTCCAGATGTTCAAACTAACATAAATGTTTCACATTTCAGGGACCCTGAACAGATTTCCAGTTTCAGAACAGAAATAATTAGAAGCAACTTTGAACAGCCATTATTTGAAATCAGGATCTCAAAATCATGGACTAGTAGATTTTAAAATACCCCTTCTCATTGGACAAAATGATACACAAACAGCTAATAAAACATCTGGTGGAGGGGCAGACCTATTGGCTAAGCAGTTTCTGGTCGTCTGTAAAACAAAATGGGTAATTTAAAATGTTGGCTATTTTAAGAAGTGTGTATCTGGGTATGTGCTTTCCAGTGCCTTCAGAAAGTATTCATACCCCTTGACTTATTCCACATTTTGACAGAACTACAGAGTTCCTTGGTTGAGATGGGAGAACCTGCCAGAAGGACAACATTCTCTACAGCACTTCACCATTATGGGCTTTATGGGAGAGAAGCCACTCCTGAGAAAAAGGCAAATGACCACATGCCTGGAGTTTGCAAAAAGACACGTGAAAGACTCTGAGATCATACCGCAAAAGATTCTGTGGTCTTATGAGACAACAAGTAATATCTTTGGCCTCTTTGGCACCCCTTCGGCCGCTTTGCCTCGTCTCAAACCAGGACCTGAAAGAGTAAGCGATGTACGGCTGCATAGCACCTTCGGGACCCTCACCATCATGGCGCACCTTGTAAACGAGGCTACGATGCTGCAACCCTACCTGGCCCTGCTAATCCCTCGCCTCCCAAGAGGTGGTGACGAGCTTCTCAAAGAGGCCACAGAGGTGTCAAAGCTGCTCACTGTGCTCCAAATTAATCCGTTTTTATTGTGAGCTTGAGTTACCTGGGGTGGCAGAGAGTTCCATGTAGTCATGGCTCTATTTAATACTGTGCATTTCCCAGCCTCTGTTCTGGACCTGGGGACTGTGAAGACACCTGTGTTGCATCGATGAGTGTCTGAACTGTGTGCCAACTGCTTGAACAGACAGTTCAGTACCTTCAACACATCAATACCTTGAACAAAGACCAACAGTGATGCAGTCAATCTCTCCTCAACTTTGAGCCAGGAGAGATTGACATGCATGTTACTGACACTTGCCCTCCGTGTACACTGCAATCGCAAAGTATTCAGACCCCTTCACTTTTTCCACATTTAGTTATGTTACAGCCATATTCTAAAATGGATTGAATTATTTTTTTCCCTCATCAATCTACACACAATACCACATAATGACAAAATGAAAACAGGTTTTTATAATTGTTTTGCACATTTATACAAAACAAAAAACGGAAATACCTTATTTACATAAGTATTCAGACCCTTTGCTTTGAGACTCAAAATGGAGCTCATGTGCATCCTGTTTCCATTGATCATTCTTGAGATGTTTCTACACCTTGATTGGAGTCCACCTGGGGTAAATTCAATTGATTGGACATGATTTGGAAAGGCACACACCTGTCTATATACGGTCCCACAGTTGACAGTGCATGTCAGAGCAAAAACCAAGTCATGAGGTTGAAGGAATTGTCCGTAGAGCTCCGAGAAAGGATTGTGTCGAGGCACAGATCTGGAGAAGGGTACCAAAAAATGTCTGCAGCATTGAAGGTCCCCAAGAACACAGTGGCCTCCATCATTCTTAAATGGAAGAAGTTTGGAAACACCAAGACTCTTCCTAGAACTTGCCACCCGGCCAAACTGAGCAATCAGGGGAGAAGGGGCTTGGTCAGGCAGGTGACCAAGAACCCGATGGTCACTCTGAGAGAGCTCCAGAGTTCCTCTGTGGAGATGGGAGAACCTTCCAGAAGGACAACCATCTCTGCAGCACTCCACCAATCAGGCCTTTATGGTAGAGTGGCCAGACGGAAGCAACTCCTCAGTGAAAGGCACATGACAGCCCGCTTGGAGTTTGTCAAAAGGCACCTAAAGGACTTTCAGACCATGAGAAACTAAATTCTCTGGTCTGATGAAACCAATATTGAACTCTTTGGCCTGAATGACAAGCCTCACATCTGGAGGAATCCAGGGACTACTCATCACCTGGCCAATATCATCCCTACGGTGAAGCATGGTGGTGGTGTGGGGATGTTTTTCAGCGGCAAGGGCTGGGAGACTAGTCAGGATCGAGGGAAAGATGAACGGAGCAAAGTACAGAGAGATCCTTGATGAATACCTGCTCCAGAGCACTCAAGACCTCAGACTGGGGCGAAGGTTCACCTTCCAACAGGACAACGACTCTAAGCACACAGCCAAGACCACGCAGGAGTGGCTTCGGGACAAGTCTCTGAATCTCCTTGAGTGGCCCAGCCAGAGCCCGGACTTGAACCCGATCGAACATCTCTGGAGAGACCTAAAAATAGCTGTGCAGCGACGCTCCTCATCCAACCTGACAGAGCTTGAGAGGATCTGCAGAGATGGATGGGAGAAACTCCCCAAATACGGGTTTGCCTAGCTTGTAGCGTCATACCCAAGAAGACTTGAGGCTGTAATCGCTGCCAAAGGTGCTTCAACCAAGTTCTGAGTAAAGGTTCTGAATACTTATGTAAATGTGATATTTATGTTTTTCATGTTTTATAAATTTGCAACAATTTCTAAAAATCTGTTTTTGCTTTGTCATTCTGGGGTATTGTGTGTAGATTGATGAGGAAAAAATCTATTTAATCGATTTTAGAACAAGGCTGTAATGTAACAAAATGTGGAAAAGGTCAAGGGGTCTGAATACTTTCTGAATGCACTGTATATCTAAGTGCGATACGTGCTGCTTTGTTCTGGACCAACTGCAATTTACCTATGTCCCTCTTTGGGCCGTAGTCCAGGTGCAACAAAACTATGGCCTGTAGGACCTGTCTGGTCGACTGAGATGTCAAAATGGCAGAGCAACACCCAATCTGGACAGACCTCTTCCCATTTTAGCAACCATTAAGTCTACAGTATATGTTTTGACCATGACAGCTTGCTATCTAGGGTTACAACCAGCAGTTTAGTCTCCTCAACTTGCTCAATCGCCACATTATTCAATAATAGATTTAAATGAGGTTTAGTGATTTGTCCCAAAAATGATGCCTTTTGTCTTTGAGATATTTAGCAGCAGCCTATTGCTAGTTACTCATTCTAAAACTGACTGGAGCTCCATGTTAAGGGTGTTAGATATTTATTTACTGTTGCAGCCGACGTGTGTACTGTTGAGTCGTCAGCGTACACAGACACACAGGTTTTATTCAAGGTCGGTGGAAGATCATTAATAAAAACAGAAAATAATAATGGCCCTAGCCGGCTGCCCTGCGGTACACCACACTCAACTGAATTTGCATGATAGCTGGAAGACAGGGTCGAATGTCTCGAAAGCTCTCCAGCAACATCTTGGTCCCACTCCTTCCCTGCCGAAAAGGCAGGGGTAGGGAAATGGGTACCAGCGTTTTACGCCCGACAGCGCAAGGACAGGCGTTGTGACCACCTTTACAGGCAGCAACACGCGGCTAAGAAGGATGGGCCCCAGCAGTCCTCCTGATGTGCTGGCGGTCTGCCTCGGTCGTCTCTCCCCGGCCCAAAGGGAAAACTGGGAGTGGCGGGTGGAGTCCCCCTGGGTACTGGACATAGTCCTGGGGGGGTACAAACTCCAGTTCCGAGGCCGACCGCCACCCTACAGGGGCATCTGGGTCACCTCGGTGACTGACAGGTGAGAAAGGAGGCACTCCAGCTGGAGATAGCCTGACTTTTGAACAAGGACGCAATCAGAAAAGTAGAGCCGCTAGAACGGCTAAGTGTGTTCTACTCCAAGTACAGTATTTCATAGTTCCGAAAAAGGATGGCAGCTTCTGGCCGATCCTGGACCTGCGCAGCCTCAACAAATGTTTAAAGGCGCTCAAGTTCAAGATGCTCTCGCCAGCAGGGGTGTTGCAGGGCATCTTGAGCGGCCTATGGTTCACCACGCTCGACCTGAAGGATGCGTACTTCCACTTTCCTGTTAATCAAAATCACTG